GGGGGGGTCGGCTGTGCTGTGCCGTGCCTGGCCGGTACTCAGCGTGCTCAGCTATAGCGGCGGCGTCTGCAAAGTCTGCAAACTTGCCCTGGCACGGCGGCGCTGGCTGGTTCGAAGTAAGTGTTGGCGAGTAGCGGCGAGGCCGGTCGGTCGCCGGTCCTCCGACGCGAAGCTCTGCAGGGGCGGCTTGACCTTTGAGCCGCGCCGCACCGACTCGACCAACTTTGTTGGCTTTGGTGTCGGGCGTCGCGCCGTGACGCTTTAGCCAGCAGCTAGCTAGCTAGCTCCCCGCCTCCCCGACCAAGTGCATGGTGCGGCGCCCCGCTAGTGACGGGTGACGCGGCGGGGCTCGTGGCGGGCATGAGCCACCTGATAGCGCAGCGCGGTCGGCCGAGGTCGATAAAACAGATAATCGGATGATGTGAGAGGAAATAATCCAAGGGGAGAGGGGCGTGCAGGCAGAGGCTTGGGGCTTTGGGAGAGGGCACCGGCACCGGCTCACAGCGCTTCGCACTTAGCGAATGTCACCTCGCTTTAGGTATTTCGAGACCGGCCATGCGGCCTTACCTATAGCCGGATCTCATACTTGACCTTTTCACCTTTGTCTCTTCATAATAAAACTCGCGTCGGGCGTCTTAAAATTGTTGTCAAACCTCGCGCGCTGAAGGATTAAAAACAAGACGTCATTTTATTTTCTGTTGGACGCACGGTGTAGAGGGGTACACCGTGGGACGCAAAGGTTTATATCTATATCCCGTCTGCTGGTACCCGCCGCGGGCTTGTCCGGGGGAGGAGGGTGGGGGGGAGGGGGGTCAGAGGCAGCGAGGCGCTTCGGCCCAGCCGCGCCGCCCGTCAAAACGCTTAAAATAAAACGAAAAGTGTTTCTGTTTCCAGCTCGTTTATCGGTCGGGCGCCAGCCGAGCCCGCGGTGACGCTCGCCGCTCGTCCGCTCGAAGGTGACTCGGCTTTGACAGGTGAACTTGACTTTGACTAGCGTTTGTGTTGCGCTGCACAGTGTTGGGAGGGCGTGGCACTGTGTGGGGCCGGGGCGCGGCGGGCGGCTACCTCAATGAAAGTACCCTGCTAAAAATAAACACCAGCTCGTGTCATCAGCTGGTCGGGGCTCAGCCATGGCTCGGCTGCTGCGAGCGTGTCTGCCCCCCCCCCCACCTCTCGCTGCGCCCAGGAGGCCTCGGCCCGGCCGTGTGCTTTACAGGTCGATACTATCTTTTTAATATCAAAGCAGCAGGAACTCGAAACAAAACAGCAGGGGCTTTTCTTGCGGTCAACGTCCGCAGTCTTTGCCGAAAGGAAGCTAATCTACACGCGCACACACACACACACACACACGAATTACTCACCAGTTCCTCTTAACCTTGGATAGAATACACACGCCGCGCAGTCTCCCGGTCCACGGCGGGCCCGATGCGAATGCACCCGCTCCCAGCTCAGTTTGGCCGGAGATGTATCAACTACAACACGAACAACATCGCTTCCTGCGGGGTCACGGTCCGTTCGCTCCTGGCGCAGCTCGGCCAGGCCCCTCCCGGGCGTGCCTGTCTGGCCGCTGCCGCATGCATAAGCGATAGTGTTCCCACTCACCTCCCAAACTCCCTCGAGCTCTAGACTGTTTTGTTAGCCTAGTGGACGGTGTAAAAATAATATCGCGAGGCCTCTGGTGGAAATAAAACGGGCAGGGGATGATTCTCACTCAGTTCCCCCCCCCCCGCTCTCTCTCTCTCTCTCTCTCTGTCTCTGTCTGTCTCTCTCCAGTCCTCTATCTCTCTCTCTAGCCACATTGTATTACATCAATGGGCAACGACTACCGCGCCCACTCACTTCTTCCTATCCCTCATCGTCATCCTCCTTTCATTCCCCGTCCCTTCCTATCTGCTTTCGCTCCTCCCCTCGTAGGTACAAGGGCTGCTTAAGGAGCGAATGACTTGGAGCGGTTACTCCCCCAGGCTGCCCCC